TGGATGCCCAATCCAGCAGCCCAGTACAACAAACAGAACATCACCGAACCGGCTGCTGCACCAGCACGTCGGACGTCGAATGCGGCGCAAGATCATGCCGCGTTTCCCTACTTTATGCACTCAATCACGAGCTGCTTTCTTTTTAGGCATTTCAGTGCCGTGGAAAATTATCCAAGCCGCAATCGGCGGTGACCATGCAGTTACAACACCTGCAATGAAAGCTCCGTGCATGACTCCGTGCGTGCAGGGGATCACTGCATCGACAGCCATTTTGGTTGTCTCGTGGCACCCCCTATAGTGGCTGAAAGTTGCGAATACAGTCACCAACAGATTTTTGGGACTCCGAAAATTCAAACTTGTTAAATATTTCACATGTCACAAATGCACCGTATAGGTTCTCATTGCACTAATGCATTTCCGAGGCTGATTTTTCAGACTAATTTATGTTTCGAAGTCTAAATTTCTGGGCTAAATTGTTCTTTTGAGCTATGTCAGTTGGGGATTAACATAGAGTTAATAATGATAAAAGCTGTGACGCTGGATTTTTTCGTGGCTTGGTCAAGTTTGGCTTGCAAAGTCTAGTTGTGTGGCCTCCGAGATTGGAAGCGTGCGCAATCTTTCAGCTTCAGAGGCCATGTCTCATCTACTTTGGCTGGAAAAAACGGCTTTTTTTTCTTACTCAGCTTTATCATCATCATTTATTCGGTGGTAGGTTGTTCTTATTTTCTGGTTGGTTGTTTTTCTGGTCGTCATTGTGCATGTGGTCGGGCTAGTGGTGTGCCAAATGTGTTTTTGTTGTAGTGTGCATCGCATGCTTGCTACGCTGCTGTTTGCGATTTCTCAGTAGCACTCCAGTAGTCATGGTGCTCAGCTACTGACCTGGAACACGTGGGTTCGATCGTCGCCGCGACAGTAGCGTTTTGATGGTGGCAAAATGCTGGAAGCTTGGGTACTGCGTGTTGTGGGTGCAGGTAAAAGAATCGCAGACAGCGTTATTATATCCCATTAAACAGGCAAGATGTTGCATGCATCTTTTGTGACCAGCATCAAGTTTTCATTTTTTGGTTCTATGTAACCACGAGCTTTGCCGACTGCAACGGTCGGCGGCTGCAATTGCCAATGCACTTGCCAATGATGTTACCGTAGCCCAAGTAAAACCAAATTCGCTCGTTGAACAGCATGATGCATTACATTATTGAGGACTTTTTTAGGTGTTTGTAAACCAAATAAACTTCATTTTCATAGCTTGACCACTTTTTCAGATTGTTCAATTTTTCGGACTATTTCGCAATCCCCCACCAGGTCCGGAAAATCGGTCGGCGGCTGTAGGCACTGATTCGACGGTGTCATTGGAGCCTATATACCAAATACTCTTTAAGTGTTCTTGTTTGCTTGCTGCCTTGACTACAGAGAATGGCCCATAGTGATTTGTACCCGAGTTTGGCAATATTTTTCTTACTAGCATGAAGTCTCCCACCTCTATTCTTGGGTTCGTTGTGTTCTGTTTTTGTCAGAATTCATTTTCATCCTCTCTTGGTGCTTAACTTTGCTCTCTTCAGTTCTCTTTTCTGTCAGGCGGATTGTCGCCTAAATTCCTAAGGTCTTGTCAGCTGGCAAATATGTTGGTTTTTTCGTAGCAGCAAACTGCGGGCGCATCCTACAGCTGTCGTGTACGACCAGTTATGATGAGCAGTACTGATGCGCAGTTATGCACAATGATGAGCAGTTATGATGAACAGGCAAGGTCGTATTTTCACGTTTAAGAGGGGACATTTTGGTTACTATTCTATGTCTCAGTGTTTGAGAAGTACAAAAGATAGCATGGTACAAGGCAGAACGACAAAAAAAAATGTCATCAGCATGTACGGCCGAACACAAATTGCTGCGGATCTGAAGGTCATGGAGGCACTTTGCAGACGCCTCAGATGTGTAATGATGCAATGAACATTTTGAAACCGTTTATTTAATTCTATTCTAGAGGCAGAACACATTCCTAATTTAGTTCTGGTACTGTCTGCACAGCGACCGTGTCTAAGCATGAAAACTGCAAACCTGGAAGTTGCTGTACTCGTACTCAAAATAGGTACTGCATACATTCACGGGCTTTGGTTATTTCACTGTTAGTTTTGACCCTCTTAACCACTCATGGCTTTTTGGGGCGTTAATTTGAACGGGAGACTTACTTTTTCTCACATGAGGCTCGCCATCAGTCGACTTTCGTCGAACGAAATCAGTGGGATTTTTTCTTTTTCTTTCTACTTTCTCTTTAGCTTAAGAAACTCAAAGGGTTCTGGGAATATCGAAACCGTTAACAATGTTGCAAAACGACTACAAACGCGAGGAAACAAGCAGCAACAACTGGTGTTTGAAGCAGGTCCAAAACTTCAATCATCTCAACAGAGCTTCCGGCCGCCACGGCACAGCGGTGCCACGGTGCCTGGAAGCTGTGAATAGTCAGGGAGTTCCACACTGGCGTCGTCCTCGAACTTGATATTTCTGTAAACTTGATATTTCTGCATTTAAGCACATCTTCATATCTTCCGGCCCCACCAACATGCACTCTAAGCGCTTAAGCTTATCCGCACCGATTTGTTGTAAACTTCAAATGTGGACAAGCCATCAGCAGATTGCACCGGAAGGTGGAATACTAAAAGGGTCATCACAGTGTCCTTTGAGGGAAGGGTGGGTGCTTGGAAGGTAATTTTGACAATGATGGCATGGCTCATTTACATTCGCCTTACTCTCTGGAGATGCTTTCTCTTCCTAATCCGGTCCTGTTTTCTTGCTTCTTTTCCTAGATTTTTTAATTTTTCAACGTTTATCTTCCCGGGTTTTTTTTTTTCATATTTTTCTTCTGTCCCCTTCCCTCCTATCTCGAGAAGCTATAAGAAGACATGAAAAATGTGTAAATATTATTATGCCTCAAAAAAGCCAGGGCTCCCATCAAAATGTCGGCTGAATAAACAGTTGTTATAAGAAAGCGCATCTACTTTAATACTTATAATCTTGCGGCAATAGAAGTTATTCTTCTATATATAAATATATTATCAAGAGTGAGAACTTCATTGACCTGTTCGCACTTTGAGATGAATTTTCATACACAGAGCACTTGTTCAATGCCGTAAAAAAAGGGACAGTCAGTTTTAAGCAGCTTCCACTGTGACAACACATATATGCATGTCATGGATGTAATAGAATTACACGCGACACTTTTTATGCATTACCTCACAACTTTTCTGCATGAATACAGTTATGTTAATTGATGGAGGCCTCCCAAACAGTACAAGTCCAATCACACACACAGCGTTTCAAGTAGGGCCAACTCCACCTAGGCTGCCTGATGCCACAGTGTTCGCTCAAATACAAGCATTAGGGCACCAAAGGCTGAGGTTGACAGTTGCGACAAAAACGAATGATTTTACATTTAGCAGCATTAGGCTTCATTAGCCAAGTGCTAGGAGGACGGGCAAAACGAAAACTTTTTATTTTTCTTACATTTCAGCCGGGCACCGGCCTTCATCCCTGATGAATATACCCTATAAAGTGGACGGGGCGATAGCCTTCATGGTATTGCTGTTGGTTGAGCATTGCATGTGTTATTCAAAGGTCGCACGTTCGGTCCCTACCAACGGCAGGTCATCTTTTAGTTTATTTTTTCTTCTTAACGTTTACATTACAACTAACTCATATGACATTTCTTATACTTTCCTTGGCATTATTGTCTGTTAAAACTCAGTATTAGAGCCACAGTGGACCCAATGCAAATACCAGTTTTTTGCGTGAAGAGTATGCTTCTCGCTCTAGAAGTGATCGAATCAAAATAAAGGTTCATAACTTCCAGGAATGTTTCTACTGACACGTGTGATGAGTAAAGGAGAGGCACGAGGTGCGTGCCGAACACGGAAGCATGGTGACGAGGCACGAGAAGAAGAGAGTCACCCGAGTGCACGCACACCAGCCACGTAGGCGCAAGAGATCGGTTCGGAGAAAGGCTCGTGGCAGCGCGACCTGAGCCGAGGAGAAAAATTGCAGAGGATGAGCTGGCACTGGGTGTTGCGACGCCTGAAATGCGAAGACGTGGGAAACAAGCGTCGCTACTGCTACAGAAGCAGTAGAACCACCTGGTTCTGAGGGATGTCGGCGAAGAGGTTTGGGAATGTGGCCATCGATATCAAAAGAATCGAGCGAGGCTGCCAGGATTTACCGCAACCTGTCACAGCAGTTCCTGGGTGGAGTACAGCTCCTCGGGCTTTGCAGACAGGAACATATGCGGCCCGCACCACAGTCAAGAAGTCGTTGACGAGCTAGGCATAGCCTAACCAAGCCGGAGAGCACAACGAAGAACAGAACCAATTGGCAATAAGGTGGAGTGGCTCGTTCAGCGAAAGATGACGACGACAGTAGAACTTGGGGAAGATATAGTTTTCAATAAACCCGTCTTGGACTCAGTGCTAAATGCGTCCTATTACTTTGTGCATTGTCTCGTCACACAGTTCGAATATAATAAAGCATAAACTATTGAAATCAAAAGTGCTGACACAATCAACCCATCAACAAAGAAATTTTGTGTAGACAAAGAGCACAAATTTGTCTAGTAAAGCCGAAGAGGCCTTTTTCATAAGCCGGCAAACTCACTCATGAGTCAACTTACTCACTCAAATGCAGACCGAGCCTGCAAACGAGACTGAGGTTTGCTTCTTGCGGTGGCCAATGTATTTGTGGCCCACATAAAACATGTTGCCATCCAGGATGAATGCACATTAGCGTGCCAAAAGCAGCCAGCTGCACGTTTAAATGAAGCAGCCTCAACTATTACTATATTTGTGAGGGAAAAGTCCAATACTCTGTCGCTTGCATGTTGTTGCCGGGATGTCAGTACGCTTCTGTCACTAACAGTGTAACATAACCTTGGCACTCCTTTGATAAGCTTGCATTTTCATTGGTGCTCTCTGAGAAAAACATCAGGTTCTGCACCGTGTGTGACTTTCCCTTACATGCAGCGGCACGCAACATCAACTATTTCTACACTGAGACCCGCTTCGACTGGAGTCCCTGTTAAGTTCTCCAACGTGACGGCCTTTTTTGGCTTGGTGCAACTGCTGGCCACAGCCGTGTGCGTGGTGGTGCTCAGCCGGCTGCTGCAGGTTCGTGATCTGGTGCTGGCCTGTCTCGGAGTGGTGGCCTTTGCTCTACAGAATGCCCTCAAGGGCATCTCCACACACGAATGGATGTACTACCTCAGTGAGTCTTTTTTCCATAGAATTTTTTTTTTGAGAAGTGAAAAATGAGCAAAGGAAAACAGATGCATGTAGCCCTTTGTTTTGTAGTGCATGTTAAATGCGATAGTGCTAAAGCTCGTTTTGCTAAATTTTCGGTGTCAGTGTCGGTAGTGGTGTTTGGTTGTGGGCGAAAAAGCATTGGCCATGAGTGAGAGGGGAATGCAATATAGTAGCCAGAAGGCATTTGCACTTTGGTTTTCTTCACAGCACAGTTGAGGTCTCCATTGAAAAGTCAAAGGCAGGGGAAGTGATTGGGAAAAGGACAGTGTGTGTGCCTGTGTGGGGATATTACCTACTATTCAATCAATCAATAAAAAAAAAATCTTTATTTGTTGCAAATATATACACACATTGGGGTAGTATATACAGAAGGAGGTCCCATGGGACAAGGCTGAAAGGGGACCTCCTGTCAGAAGTATACATGTTGATAAATACAACAAAATGGGAACTAAAAGCGACAAGTAATTTTGATAGGAATAAAAACAATGCTAACATGCAATATAAGTTTCAGTAAAAAGGGCAACAAAACAACGTTCAGTAATTATACATGGCTGTGAAAAAGATTCAGGTACACATAAAAATGGAAGTAGAATCGTGGACAAAAGTGTCTTTAATTAGTGATACATAGCTAAACAGACAACTCAAATCTACATGAGTAATAAATATAGAAATAACTCTTACAGTAATAGCACTAGATGTAAGAGAAAACCAATATAGAAATACAGATTAGTTATGATTGCAAAATGAGATGATTAAGTTAAAGTGCTGAATGGTAATTGTTTAGGACTATAGTGGTATTGAAACTCTTAAGTTTATGGGTCCCATAGTGGTCCAAAGTCTGTGATGCTGGCTTGCACGTAAATTTCTGCCATTGTTGGTTTAGAGGAGACACTTGGCAAAGACTGGCTGAGCTGCTAAATGACAGCCTATAAAATGTTATCGTAGGTTGCGCTGGATGCTGAAAGGAGCACTAGTGTGCATGAAAGGAAGTGCGGAGCTGGGTGTTTATTTTTCTCTCTTCTTTCCTTGAGTGTCTTTCCATTGCTTGCTTGTTATTTCAGTCTTCTTCATTCTTTATATGTGCGTTTAGAAAACAGATGCGGACTAGACTATTGTGTCACGTTCATTACTTGCGTCATGCATGTGATCGAGTGTAGCCGCCATCTTGATACCCGAATGTGTTGCAACAAATAGATAAGGGATTACTGCATCCGCCTGTCGCTGAGCAGTGTGTGTTAGCTTGCTTTCGGGTGCAAGTCAGCCCAATAAATTCTTTTTATTTTATTGCTGTTGTGGTCTGTCTTTCTACTAGTCTGTGCTCTGGCCAGCGTACCATCACCTGCGTGGCATTTAGTAGAGCTGCTGATTTTTAGCACACCTCCATTGCACTGTGACACCAGTCCAAGTGCCCCTCAAGCAGCTGACACTAACGGAGCTACCAGAGATGACAAGAAAGAACAGTCGCCGAGTAGTAACTGCCTACAAGGGCTACTAACAGAATTGGGACAGCTCCCAACGACTAATCATCACGTGAACTATCGTTCAACTTCACCGATGGAGACCGCCAGAGCACCTACACCAGTGGTCATCCAGCAGCCTCGCCAACCCCTACTGTTTAAGGGCTCTGGTTGCAAGAAGGTGCAAGGCTGGCTGGAGTATTATGAGTGAGTCACAGCCCTGATCAAGTGGTCTGATTAGGATCAGCATCTAAACAATTTTCTTGCACTCGTGGACTGTGCTAGCACCTAGTACTAGAACCAAGAGCCCTACGTGACAATGTGTGGTGCTTTCAAGAGCCTGGCATTCAAACATTCGGGAATGTTTTGCAGAAAGAGCGAGCTGAGGACTTGCTTCAAACTCTCCAGCACCCAAATGTGGCATCTTCGTCAAAGAAAGCCATTGTTAGAACTTCTACGCAAGTGAAAGTTCTAACCACATATGACGTCGACCGCTAAGCAAGTTGCAAGACTCCTGCTTTTGCTTTGCAGTTCATCACCCAGACGTCCGTGCCCAGTTCAAGTACTCGCAATGAAATAGCCCTATGACGACAGTTGAAGTTCCTATGCTGCCGCTGTCGGGCGGTCATATCATGGCTTCTGGACCTCCTCAGGTGCACCGTCTGAGGCAGAAGGCTGGTGGGATGGACAGGCACTGTTGTGTAAGCCACCTGCCCATTAGAAGTTCTGCAGGGCTTTTCCCTAGTAGCACCGGAGTGTCCCTGTATGCTAGGAGAGAAAGATATGGGTCCTTTGCTTCTGTAATGAAGCTTTTAATTGTCTGGACCATCCTCTCTGCTTCACCATTTGTCAGGGGGTACGTGGGCCTAGACGCCACAGGGGGAAAACCGTAGTTGTGAGCAAACAACTTGTATTCCTGCGACACAAATTGCGCTTCATTATCAGACATAACTTTTTGTATGCCATGTCTTGCGAAGAAACTTTTAAGGTGTGCAATGACAGTTGCACACGTTATCAATTATAACAAAGCGATCTCTGGGTACCTTGAAAAAATTCAGCGTGTCTACCAACCTGAACAACTGGAAAACCTTGAAAAGTCAGGGAATTTGGACCCTTCTGGAAAGGTCTTGGAAAAGTTAAGGAATTTCTGAAAACCCTGGCCAGGTCATGAAAACTGACAGATGTTCTGTGCGACTGTCACAAAAAGAAGCATTATCATTGATCAAAGATTATAAAGTCTCTCTCAGCTGCAACTACATTTAGGTGCTAGAAGGGGTGTGAAAAAAAGAAAAGAGACACTGCATAGCTCTTGCTTCTGAGTGTAAATGCGAGTAGATACAACAACCCATAGAACACATAAAGTTTACTGACTTTTCAGTACCCAATATGAGAGGGAGCCTTGTTCACACTAATAGCCATAAGAAAGGCTCACCGGACTTAAGTGCGCCTAGATACGTGACATAAGCAGCAAGAGTACATTGTCAGAAGCTTCTGTAGAGTCATCTGTATATGGATTCCAGCTGCAGGCATAATGCAAGCTTTTTTAAGTGCGGAGCATTTTATAGTCGCGCCTACTCACAAATCCGGCGACAGTGGCAGTGTCTACGCCCCTACTGCGCATGCTCTCATCTCGTTCCAAGTGTCGCTCCCCACACTCTCTCACCTCGCAAAGCCAACCCAGGCGGCGCCTGCTAGTAAAAACTGACGGCAGGCGCGACACAACCGTTCACGGACCACACCATATAGATAGGCACTGGATGGAGCGTTTGGAATTCAGCCAAGGGCGTCTTTACTTGACTTTCGCTTGATTTGACGCTTAGCTTGTCTCGAGTAGATGGGATGGAAAGAACCGACTTTCAAACTTAAGGTTTAACAGCACAAAAAAAATACACGGCGAACAGGAAAAGGACAGGACAAGCGTTGACTTCCAACTAAAATATTATTGACAAGAAGGCTGTTAATATATCCGAGTGAACAGAAAACCCAGTGAAAAAATGTCAGATTGCCCCATTGGCCACGGCTCTATTGTATTTACACAAAGAGCTAGCATCCTCGGGGCACTTTGAGTGGTGTGTGGCATTATCTTCTGATGTCATGTGCAGCAGTGTAGCTTTGACAGCCCTCTTCATATTTGGTACATTATTGACGTTGCTTTCAAGGCATACTCATAATAATTAGCGATCTTCTCGATTTTTTCTTGTGTCAGCTTTCCTTTTTCCCCAAGAGACTCATCTTGAGCCTTCTTTTTGTCGACATGGCTCCGTAAAGATGCACCCATTCGCTTGTAAACGAGGTTAATGCAGTCCTTTTGTCAATTTGAATAAAGCTGTTCACCTCCACTTCACGCAAGGCATGGAAAGTGCGGCTGTCTCCAGCTGAGAGCATAGTCGTGTAGCGCAAACCATGCTTGACAAATGACCTTTGAAACATGGTCAACGCAGCCTCAACTTCCATGCAACCAGAGTTGCACTCAATGTTTCGTTGGCACTCGTGGGTCGCCAGCCAGTCTGTGTACCGTTCGTCTTGTGGCTGCGGTCCAAGGGTACAGCCATGTGAGTAAACAACATGGTCAATTACAAGGCCTGTGTTATGTTTGATGATGTAGCCCACGCCAATGTGTGGGCTCTGACCTCATGTCATCTAAGACTCGTCAAACACAACATCAATGTTCCCTATGGGGGTTCAAAAAGCCTGAATACAAATCTTTTATTACTGCCACACTAGCAGCTTCACTTTCAGTCGTCGTGTTTTGCACACTTCCACGAAACTTTTTAGGTGTCTCTTCAATGTCTTATGGTGCAGACCTCATTGTGAAAGATTCATAGACACACAAAAGTCTGGAAGGGCAGTTAACGCCTTTGCCTATCATCTGTATTCCTGTCATGGCCCTCATGTGGTCTTCGAAAGGAGTGGTGATGGCAGTTCCGCTCACTCTTAGAGAAGAAAATTGCTTTTTCTTGAAGTCATAATTGCCGCAAGCAAAAATAAGCTTAATCGCAAGGTCTTATACCTTGTCCGTTGTCTTACTCAGGTTCAGACTTTTTGAGTCGCACTTGTTGCACTTCACTTGTGCGATATTCAAAATTTTCAATTGACAAGCGAAAAGTTTTTGGCACTCCACGCTCACTCCAAAAAAGTCTAACTTTCACTGGGTAGCAGACTTTCCTGACAAAACGGTCTTCGTTTTGTGGTGATTTCTCAACTCACTGCGCCTACTGTGCCGTTGCATACTACGCAGCATCAATCCAAAGTGTATCACTCATTGAACTTGGTCCCACGACGTCATCAGTGGAATGCAGCGCCCTTGGAGCTTCGGGCAGATCCAATAGGTCCGGCCGCGATTCCAACTTAGCAGCCAAAGGCGCACTTGTAAACTGCGCCTACTTGTTCCAAGGCTGTTTCTTACGGCTTCCAAAAGCTTGTCGCATTGATGGTTTTAGTCGAGCGTCTCCAGGCATCTCGATCGCATTGAAAAAGTACCAGTGCAAAGCGGAAACACAGTGCA